ATTGACTTACAGATCCTGGACTGTACCTCCCAGAATGCAGCCCTCATATACGGCCCCCTCCCCTCGCTCACATCTCGCGCCCTGTCCTGCTAACACCACACTTACACAGGGACAAACCATCCCACTGCATTAAGAAGTCATCAGCCTTGTCAGCTTCGAGTTGACCTCATGCTTCTGTGAGGTCAGGTGGCCCACTGTCTATGGCTACTGTTTGGGGTCAAGTTTCAGGCCAATTAAAGGGCCTTCTATTAGGCAAATGCAAAAAGAAAGTGTAGTGTTGATCAAAAAATCCCAGTGGCATAAAGAACACTGCGTACATTTGTTAGTACATGTGTGTTGGAACTGGCTCTGGTTTAATTTAAATGGGATTTTGTTCAGAGAAAGACACATGTAATCGATGTAGTCATTATTAGGCCATTTGTAAGAAAGGTTTAACTGAAAAGGAATAGACGACAGACCATAAAAGCATTGGTCACTAAAATACATTTTTACAATCTCCATTCAACGATTTTCTTTATTACAACTTCAGCATGTCTTATCAATTTAGATCCATGACTTTCAAACACATCAAGATAGGACCCCAAAATAACTTTTAGATTCTTATTTGCCTTTTAATTGACAAAATATTTTTCATTGTTCAAATAGAAAATCTCACAACCCACAGCTTAGTGACGACACCTTGCGAACCACTTTAGTTAGACTGTTTGTTTGAGTACAGCTACTTACTCTCAGAAAAACTACATTAAAAAATGAATTTAAAAAAAACAAGATAAAAACAACAATGACAAATTAGTCTTCGCTGGTTATTAGACTTGTAGCCAGAGTCGCCTTTGTCAGCTGCCACTCTGGAAAACTGTGCTCCTAAGACTCATTACGAGCCATAAATCCTGTTGGACTCGTGTCAAGTCGCACCATTAGACCCTGGAATTCCACATGTGTGTCACCTGACCACACAAGCAAAGACACTATATAGTTTTATTTAACAATTCATGAGTGACCATAGCTCAGAACAGTGACATTGCATCTGCTGCACAGGTCTGAAGCAAACGGTTAAAATGACGAAGGACAATTCCATAATATTTCATGACGAGGATTACGTTACCATGACCACCGTGGGAATGTAAGGCCTGCATGAGCCCACAATTGTATTCAGAAAAGGGTGGACGTCCCAAAAGTAGTAGGTAGGAGTTTAAAAAGGCTCATCTGGCATCTGCGTGTATCCTTCATGTTACTATTTTGCATTTTGCATACCATTGAAGATATATAGGGCAGCACGGTGGCTGAGTAGGTTTCCTCCAGGTGCTCCGGTTTCCCCTACCACTAAAAATATGTACAATAAGTCTGGCATGCGCCTCCTGTACTGGCAACCCCGCTCCCATCTCTTTGTGGAGTGAGAGACAAATGCCCAAAAATGACAATTGTAAAGCGCTTTGTGACTCTGGTCTGAGAAATGTGCTATATAAATAAATATGACTTACTTATATATATTTTTACAATACTAAATATTTTCCAATTGAATACAGAAACAAATATAATACCATACAATGCTTTCTCTGTAAATCATCCACAGCTCAAAATAATGTGTTGGTCAAGATCTGCTCAATCAAGTGCAATATTCCTATGACTAAAAAAACAAACAAAATAAACTTTACAATCTTTCCCACTTTACTTTAGGGCTACTTGAGGAAAATGCAGCCTTGTTTATTCTTCTTAAAACTTATCCCCTCCACATCGTGATCTCATTAAACCCGGCGCCCTGAAAAGCACTTCCCTTGAAGGTGCTGCCGATATTTACTTTTGAAGGAAATTGAATCTGAGCGCTGTATTAAAATAATCTAACGGGATACAAGCCGGGCGCTGCAGGCTTTGATATTACAATCACTGTAATAAAGGCCGGATTGATTGAATGATTGGCACTTGGACACATGTGCTGTGAGTGACCTGAGCCTGGCTTTAGCCCAGTGCAGTGGTCACAGGAATGTTGTGCCCTGAAAACACACCAGAGAGGACATCATATCTATCAGAGAATATATTTTGTATTGCTCTTATGTCTCATCAAGCTGCTGTTTTTTTGCTGGTTGAAAAATGTAGGAAGGGACAGCTGTCATGTGTAGATGAGTGTCTTCCCTCATTCTGTAAAAATGTACTGTATTCTAAAGCTGGGGAACCTAATATTTGTTTTCCATAAATCATGTTTCTTTTTTATTGTACATAGTAAATCCTGCAGACTGTATTTTTAACCTTTCACATGTTTGCACACTTCTGTCTTTTGCACAACCTGAGTGATTCTGTCTATGGTAAATGTGTCATGTAAATTTCTCCAGTTTGAGATCAATAAAGTCGATCTTATCTTATCTTAGTAAAACTTTTCTGAACACATCAAATCACTGAGAGTTGATTGTCTGAGTGATGGTGGTCCTCTCTTTGTCGCTTTTTGTTATTGAAAAAGCTGATCTAAAGAAGTGCTAGAGACCAAGAATACATGTATATGAACAAAATAGAGATTGTGTAGAGCCAGGAACTAGTTAGATGAATTTTGTTGCATAGTTGTTTGTGATTTGAAAGTTAGGTACCCCAGCTTTAGTCTCTGATCAAGTTAACTAGTGATTTGTAAGAGATACTGGTTATTTTCACATTTGTATTATTTGTATTATGGTGAATGGGACAACGATCTTTTCCAACCCTTGTCCCACCGACGCCCCTAAAAAAATACTTTGAATTATTGTACACGTTTTTAGTAAGTTCAGATATTTTTCCATTCTCTCTACACGCAGTGATGACAGAAGCAAGACGCCGAACACACTGGCGCATCCTTACATTCATACCTATTTTATATTTTTGTGGTAGGGGAAACCAGAGCACCTGGACAAAACCTACTCAGACACAGAAAGAACATGCACACTCCACCGAAAGGCTCGGTCTGGAGGTGGAATCTTACCCATAGACTGTATATATTAACGGACGTAGTCACGCCTATCTCCGCTGTTCAAACAAATGGGTTAAAAAAATGCTCTACTGGAGCCATCCAAAATGGCCGCGAGTGGTCCCGCCCACAAGAAAATTGACACAGAGAAAAAACACATCTGCGCATGTGTCAGCCGGCGAGAGCTCCATTCATTTGAACATAGACTTCAAAAATTCACAGCAAGTAAACTAGAGTGGTCCAAAAAAATTCACTCCCCTCAGCATAGACACACTTTGGGCCAAGAGCCAACTTTTGGACCATCCTGTAAAGACGTTTTCGAGAGGTCTGCCAATGCTATTTGTTAGCATTGGCTAATTCTTATTCCGGGTCCACCATCATCGGCTCGGGGTGGTATTGCATTTTGGCACATCATTTTGGCCACTTTTGAGCCGGGACCCACCCCCACTGATCTTACCCAGAACCTTACTGCTGTGTAGTACAACCGCTAGCCACTATCTTTCTTTGCAGTGTCTGTGTCTATCCAACTTGTACAGTGTCTTCTGGTGTGCGATGCCTGTAACGCGAGTGGATTTGTCGATGTCTTGAATGGCAGCCGTCCGTGGGGCACACTGAAGGTTGGTGGGATCACACATGTTTTGAATTGCGCTTCATGTGACAACAACTTTCCAATCTGACCCACCAGCACCATCTAAAGCCCTATCAGTCCACTACCATCTCTATCAATCATTAGAAATCATTTATTTTTAGTGGGATGTGGCCTCTCGCCTTCCTCGCTGCCCTTTTGCTCCCCCCCAGTCCCTGGTGGCCCGCAGCCCCTCACTAATGAGTGTCAATCTGCCGGGCTGTGGCACTTTTACTGCAGACACCTCCCCTGACAAACGCAGGGCTTCAGTCAACATGAATCACACAAATAGACACAGGCTAAACTGACAGTCAAGCCAAGACCCCAGCCCTCCCTCCAGAGCCTGTTTAAAAAGTTTTCCTCGTCCAAACCGCAGCGATACTGTACCTCCTGTTGTTTTAATAGATGCAGATGACGGACAAAGCCACAAATACAGACAGACTGAAGTCCTTTGTCATCGCATCAGAGCCTGAACAACATGGGGTCCACTGAAAACTACGACACACACTTTACCAAAACCCAGACGCAGGGCACGTCATATACAGATAACAATTTCAAACTTCTACTGTAGTTGAGTCCAAATGACTCAATGAGTTCTATCATTTTGTTGATATATATAAAAAAAAAAAGTAATTTTGTTGATGATGTACAATGTTGAATAATTACATTTGAATCAATCATGTTTAAAAAAAAGGATCAAAACTTCTGACAGTGCAGATTGGATTATGTAATTTTTTATCTTGTATGCTAATAGAACAAACTAAACACAAAAACATTTAATAATGCTTTATGTTTTGCCTAAATAAGGTATTTCTTTCCACAACATTACTTTGCTCCTGAGTGACAGGATTTCAGCACTGATGTTGACTGTTTCACCTCATAAAGCCGCGGGCGTCCTCCCTCTAATTCATAATGATTTAAAAATCCATGCATAGTAGGCAGTGACATCACAGCCATGTTTGTGCTACTGTTCAGAGATGGGTCAAAACACAACTTCACTCTTCTGGATTTCCACTGTCCTTTCAATATACTTGAATTTGAAAACTAGTTTGACCTCTAGCCACTCAACACAACTCTGGCTATGTTCACACTTGCACACACTGCATCGAAATATGTTTCTAAAGTGGGACTATACTTAGATCTACGCCTACACTAGAAGTTTCAACATGTGTAGGTTGGAACAGGCCCAAACCGGGTGTGCATCAGGACCAAATCACATCATGTACCTTCACATATGCAGGACTTCTATTAACCATTGGGACGTCAGTGATCTATTCTGGAGGGTGGATGCGACAGCCGGCCAGCAACAGCACGAGGGGAAGGAATGCTGTGTGTCCTGGGCCGAGCGCTCGCTGAGGCCGCGGGAGGAAGTGGAGATGTGGCTATACTGTTTCAGAGAAAGGACAGAGGGAGAGAGACAGTGTTGATGAAAGAGCGAAGATGGAGTAGGAGTTAGGAGAGGTGGCCCCGGTGCAGCAGGAGCCGGGGGGTGGAGGAGGGGGCTGAAGGCATTTGGTTTGGTGCCAGTGGAGCCAGCTTTTTGGCATGCCGCATTCCTGGAGATCAACACCGCGGTATTTCCTTTCAGCCCCAAGCACACGTCTGCCACACAGCAGACACTGACACTGCTAGCACCGATTTCTGACACTAAACATGTGTAAATAATAGTATGTGCTTTCCAAACGGTATAATAAGCAAAGTAGACTCGTATCAGACAATAAGAAATATTAAGATGTCATTTTATATTACACAGAGCGGATCAAAGGGGAAATTAGAACGACTAAAGATCCAAGTGTCTCAAAATCTGCATGTATATTATTATTTCTAAATTTTCGTTCCACTATGTAATTTATAATTAAATGATTTTGTAATCTCTACATTGTCAGAGCAAACATTGTCACAACAAAGTGGCGACATAGTAGCAGACTTTTCATATAATACTGTGAATAGAAAAAGGAAGTAAAGAGTCTACCAGCCGTCATAAAAATGGGGATCGTTCAAGCAATGACACAATGCATTCATCACTCTAAATATATTTTTGAAGGAGAAAATAAAAATGTCATACTTCAACAGTACTGAAATTTTATTTTAAACATTATGTCCCCAAAATACTGATAATGGTGGGACTATGTTAGCAAAAGACAAGACACACAGAAAAAACATACAGACAAGCCTATACAATTATATCAGTGTTTCTAGAACCAGAAGCGGCATGGTACCAGGAGGCTGGTACCGTGCAGCACAAGACCTGGGGTTCACCAGCGCCATCACCAAAAGAGTTCTTAGAGTCATATTATTTGGCCATTCCCAATTTTCTGCACAAAAAGAAAACATTAAGTTAAGAAACTGTTCCAAGAGGTGATTAGCTTCCTTGTATTAAATAAACCCTGTATGTTTCCCCTGGTCGTGTGGCACCCTGTCAGCTGAAGTTAACCTGATGCTGCGGTCCCCCCTGAGGGCACTGAACTGGCCTCTCCCTCATCAGCAGCATTAGGCCCGAGCGCGTGATGGCTGCTGACCGCTGGCACCGCTCTGCTTTGGTAATGTGTGTAATATGGTCTGAGCTGGTGTGGACTCAGATAATAAAAAATAAAATAGGGCCCTGGCTCAGTTCCTGCCCTCAGCGGCCCTCACTCCGCCCCTGTCACAGACTAAGTGGAAGGGGCAAAGATGGCACGTTGGGTAATTGGTTTTGGGCGTCATCAAGGACACCCTGTTAGAATGCCTCATGTCACTGAGGCACAGCTCATGCAAGAGATGTGTCAGAAACTATGAACAAACTTTTGGCAGGTTTCAAAATGAATACAGGAATATGTGTTTAAAAGCATTTACAAAGGAGCTCTTGCTACTAACTTTTGCAGCTAAACAACAAAAGTCTGCAACATACATTGGGAAAAATAGATGCAGCGAAGGTTTTTGTGCCCTTTCAGGATCAAGGATGATGTTTGTTCAACAATATATTATTTATTTTAGTAGGCATAATATTTGTTGTAGGGGGGGTGGGTGTCAAACTCATTTTAATATAAGGAAGTTTTTTCACCAAAGAATCCTTTTCACGTATTTTATGATTTTTTTGCTACAAAAATATTTCAAATGTTGCCATGCTCCCTCCCTCCTTCAGCTCCTGCAAGATTTTCAATTGCTGTTTTGGAGAAAAGAACTCAAAGCTTTTGGAAAAATGGGGAACTTTTTCAAAGTCATAAAATAAGCTAAAAACCTGCTGCGCACATTTTCGCTATTGTAAAACCCAGTTTGCACTTAAGTGTTTTACAATGCAATACTTCACGTAAATGTTCTAGTAAACATACACATAATTTGTGATTGAAACATGGCAGTTATTCAGTCACTGTACTGGATTAACTGAGTTAATTCTAAGAATTCTATTTTCTAATCAATTGATTGTAAAATCCTGATATGAAACTATTCTAATTGTGTTTTGTTTTTGTAACAAAAAGAATAAACCACAAAAATAATAATTATAAAGAGGGTCTTATTTGGCACATGGCTTAAACCAAACACTGAACTGGAAATATGAAATTGACGTTGATTACACAGTGGTTCTCAAGTTTGCTACAGTGTCAAGTCACAAAGACGTCTCTACAAATATTGACATTATTCATTGCACCCACAATGTTGCTACACTACCATTGTAGCCGCAGCTGCCCAAGGGCAGAATGGTGGAGGAGGAGCTGTCTGACACACAGGTGGCACCACTGGACCCCCCAACCACCAACTATTCTCTCACACACCAGATTCATTCTTGCCTATTTGTGCCACTTCCACAGCTGCTCCTCTGTGCCACATGGTTTTCCCAGAGATCAGGCCCAGAGAGAGAGAAGTGAGGGCCAATAGTCAGCCATAATCCATGTCTGTATGAAGACTAAAACATGTTAAGAATAGGACTGTGGTGACAGTAAAGCACATATCCATTCAAATTAATTTGTGGATATAATAATGTGTAAATGTAAAAAGACAAAACGAACCACCAGGAGTTTTAATGTACCACCAAAACCACCACTATAACCTGTGCCATAGTGAACCTGTCCCAGTCTAAACTACAGTTATGCTACTTTTCCCCACATTCCTCAGCCCTGTGCACTGGCGGATGGGCAGCAGGTGTACCACAGGGGGATCCAACAGGTCAGAGTCTGTACATGACCTCTGCCTCTGAATGAAAACAGCAGTTTAGGACGGTGCAAATATGAAGTGACAAAGGCTGGTCTCTGTGTGGCACTGACAGGCCACTGCCTCCGGGTCAATCAGCCAGGATCAAAAGCCAAAACTAGGTCAGGGGGGAGGCATGGAGCAAATATGTTGTCAATGTTTTTGCTGTTAATAGGACAATAACTACATCTCATTTAATTAGGTGTTGTTTGGAATGGTCTAAAACAATCAAACTAAAATTAAATGCATTAATATTGAACTGTACTGCTGATCCATTTAAAGCATTCAGTAGATGTTTGTTATGCCTATTCACCAATATTAGGTGCATTTTATGTTATTTGTAAAATAGATTTTTAGTGATCTGTCATCAGTGGCAGTCATTTCTATAAACAATAAAGCAGTAGTCCTAAACAGGCCCCTAATCCAGCTATAAACCACATATGTGAAAATACGTGATATTCACCGAATCAATAATGTTATTGTGATTATTCATCTAAAGAACAAAAAACATTATTCATGGAAATTGAGTCGATAAAATTTAGGAAACTAAAGTGTTACATTAACTAAAGACCACTGGTCACAGACCTGTATGTTGTTAATTATGTATATGGTTTTACTTCATGGCTTTACTTTATTCATGGTGGAATCAGGTACAGTCTTCATCACTATAACAAAACAAAAGTGTGAATGAATTATGGCATTTTATTCTACTCGGCACTGTGGTGGTTAGCACTCTCGCCTCTCTCCCCTCGCCAAGAAGGTCTTAGATTCGAATCCCGGTCGGACCAGGGCCTTTCTGAGTGGAGTTTGCATTTTCTCCCCGTGTTTGCGTAGGTTTCCTCCGGGTACTCCGGTTTCCCCTACCACTAAAAATATGTACAATAGATCTGGCATGCGCCTCCTGTTCGGCGACCCCGCTCCCATCTCTGTGTGGAGTGAGAGGACAAATGCCCAAAAATAACAATTGTAAACCGCTTTGTGACTCTGGTCTGTGAAAGGCGCAATATAAATAATGATTACTTACTTACTACTTACATTTAGTTCTTGCCTCACGTCAGGAAAGTATCCTTTGTTAATTCAATTAGACGGTTATTAGACTCACACATCTGTGATCACAGTGAGATGAACAACAGCAGCTGCAGAAGCAAAGCCCGGTTCCATCCTGCCCCAGAGGAGCAGAGGTCTGACCAGTCCTCCCTTTGGCCCGTATTTGTCATGGGCTGACCCGCCATTTAATTAATTAAAATTAGCATGTGTCCCCTTGGCATTGACTTGTTACGTCAGTAGAAATCAGCTTTTGTTCTGCGGCCCCGGGGTTACTGGTCTTAACGAGGCATAGGATCCTAATTAGACGATGGAATAAGATGGTGGTTGGGTGTAAGGACCAAGGGGGGGCACAGAGGGTCCCGCTGAGAGAAACCTGCCCCGAGGCTAAAGGGGTATTTATACTCTGACCACCTAAACCAGAACGCGAGAGAGACTCTTTGTTTGTATCTGCTCCCACAAATGTCACTTTGAAACAGGAAAAACACATGAGCCGGACACTAGGCCACAAACAGGAACAAATCATCTGTCAATCAGAATTAAACCATAAACACTATTATTTAACTCATTACTTTAGTAAACAGAAGAAGCAGTCTTTTATCTATAATTGGGTACCTTTGTTGTAAATGTAGTCATTTGTGCATGTTTAAGTAATTTAACATGCACAAAGTTTGAGATTTAAAAATATAAAATCATGATCCACTGTGGTCTTTGATTATAACTTATAAAACAGACAGAACAATATCCCTTCTTAACCCTTTTCTTTTTCTTCTTTTCTTGCAATTATAATTCAAAACCCGCCTCGGTGTGTGGTGGTTGCGTCACCTCTTGGTCTCCTCCATGGCAGAGGTCGGAGTGGACAGATGTTTGTGTTTGGATGAAGACGGAGCAGGTGATGATAGCGGACAGGACGTGGGCGCTGAGTAGAAGCTGAAAGACACGTGTCAGTGAGAAGATAAGACAGGGACGGACACTGTGGAGTTTCCTGAAAGTAGCACATGGGTCCAGTTACAGAAAAAAACATGGGAAAATAAAGACAGAGACATTTTTTTTGCTTTGATGATATGATTAAAGATTACTTACTTACTATTAATAAAGATTTTTTTTTTTTTCGCTAGATAATAACCTTTTTTTAAGGTTATTATCTAGCAACAATGCAATCTTAGCCCTATAAGTACCAAGGCAAATTCCACTTTTGCCCTAAACTATCATCATCTTTGTCAAAGTGGCTTGATCATATTGTAATTGCATTGCGCTATGAGGTTTAATTTAAATCTAAGTCCGATCAAAGTTGGATGTTTTTAATCAAGAGATCTACACCAAACATGGACTGTACAGTAGTCAACAAAATCAATTCTCAGTTGACTGATTTTTGAATGCAAATCCAGTGCAGGTGACGTAAAAAGAAGTAAAATGGCAGCCAATCCAAATCCAAAGAACGATCTCAGGACCGGAGATTCATCCATTCATATTCAATCTTTTTTGACCAATTCCTAAGGCAAGTTTTTTCATTAATTTGATGTGAAACCTTTTGAGAGATTAAGACCTGCTCAAATCAATAACAGAATAAAAGAGAAGAAAAACGTAGGGAAACATTTGTGGGAGGCTAAGGTCGCTGCGTAGGAAGAATCCTGCTGGAGCTCATGTAGTTCTGCTACTTTGGCACCAAGGGTTAAGTGATTTTCAAATCAACAATATTGTGAGGGCCCTCAAGATGCCTGCTGAGATTTTGGGCTGTACAAAAATGATTTGGATACAATGACAAATACTTTGACAATGAAAATAACTAACTCGATATAATGACGCTTTTGATAAGTATTTGTATATGTATTTAAATATACTGTAAGTACAAATAGTCAGGATAAAATCAAAGTAATTCAACAAATGGAAAGCAACATTAACAAGCAGCATGTGTGGGTATCCGGCTGTTCCGAGAGCGAGGCCCAGAGTCTGTCAGCTGGCAACCGTTCTCAATATAAGCTCTCTAATTGCTCAGAAAATTACACTTAACAATGATCGCACACGACACGCGCTGACATTGCGGTGACAACATGATGTCCCGCGAGCCCACCCTTCCCCCGGATCGCCACCGTCCCGGCACCCTCTTTGCCGCGTTGTGCCAGACCCCATTGACCAGAGCGTTGCCCCCGGTGACCGCAGCGTGCCCTCTGTTTGTGAAGCTGTCTAAAGTCGAGATGTCACAAAGTTCAACCCGCTCCGCCATCGTTTTCTGCCACCGCCCATCTGTCAGGAAAACCGTTTGAACCATGAGGTGAGCTGCATATACATGTGTGCGGCCGCAGCTCCATAGGTGCATACAGGCATGAGAGGCCGGGGCATGTTGTAGGCCGGGGTGACATGAAGTGAAGGAGGCAACTGTAATGGATGACCCATCTAGTATTTAGGTCTTCATTGATAATTTAAATAATGTATTCTACAAACACAACAAACGGCTATCACTGCACTCAGAAAGAAGGACATGTATATTTAGGCATGCCATAGGGATTTTAATGCAGATTTATAGTTCAATGAATTAAAGATGGAACAATGTTTCTTGGGGCTTATCATTATGTGTACATTTTCTTAGCATTAGAGGGAATTTGTAACATGATATGATTTAACCTGTAAAAGATTCATTTAATATATGGCTATTAATCATCCCTGATTTCTGCTGTATGCTGAAAATGTGATGTAGTTGTAGAGTTGTAGGGGATCTACATTGTTTTAAATAACTTGTGATTCTCCTGGTCAATTCTGTCAGTGGCAAAAAGTAGTTTTAATATTAAAGTTTTTGCAATATTTTTTAAATTCAGGTGTGCAGAGACAGTTGAAAATGTAAGTTTTTCTTCTTCATAGAAATTTAGTTTTATAACAATTTGAGCCACAAGCTGGTGGCTCCGACTAAACCATGATTACCAAGAAAAAAACTAGACAAATGACAGAGCACCAAACTTTAACTTTACGTCCCCTCAACTTTTTTCAAAAACACACACTTGATAAATTTAAATAAATATTCAATAATTATCAAGTGTTTTCATCAAAAGAAGTAACAATCAGGTTGATTCAGGATCATTTTGGAAATCATACATCACACAAGAAGCTACTTTCTGTCATAATTGTACATTACTAATAAAACAATCACCTGAAAGTTTCTCGAATGCAAGTTTCTGGAGTATATGAAAGTAGGGGGGTACGAGTGGGGCCTGCATAAGCGTGTGGCTGCGTTCATGAACCCAGCAGCCTTTGGGCACAAACATGTCACCTCTTTGTCTTGTCAGAGTTAATGTGAGCATGACCACCCAGGCGTGGGCCAGTGACAGAACCTATAGCCCGCCCTCCCTCACCTCCCATCATGCCCCTCTCTGCAGACCACCTCTTTGTCTCCACCAGCCTGCAGTAGGGAGCCTCTGTTGGGCATCACCTCTGGCTCATTGGGCGCCCTGTCCGTCATGGGGCTGGGGCTATGATGTTTCACCAGCCAAAGAGATGCCCGGTGGGTGGAGCGAGGTGGCACAGACGATCAGTGATGATGCTTGGAAATAACAAAGCAACGCGCAGGGGACCGGATGATGGCTTACAGCGAGAATGTCAACACAAGATCTTTGCAGAAATGGTTTAACATGGGCCATATACAGACATTTGAAACTGAGACTCTTCTTTATTTGGGATCTAAGAATCTGTGATACTGTAACTGAACTTTGGATATACATTTATATCTGGATAGGATTTTCGTTTTACTTTGCAGTTTTAGGTTTTCCTCAACAAGGCTTCAGATTGTATTAAGAAAAGTGACATAAAAATAGTCAAAATGTATAAATAATAAATTCTTTACAAATAGGTGTTGCAGTCGCCACCACTGAGAGAGAAAAGTCCTCAGGATAGAGAGTTTTAAAGAGAATATAGTGTTTGAGAGGGAACAATTCATTTGTGCACTGACGACCTGTATGATGATTTAGAAGTACCAAACTTCAAGAAACCTTTCCCCACATAACCCTTCTGTTAAAGACTGTAGGTGCACAGTGCAGACAGTAAGTAAGTAAGTAAGTAAGTAAGTTTTTATTTATATACCGCCTTTTCACTGCAGATCTGAGTCTCAAAGCGGTTTACAATTGTTAATTTTGGGCATTTGTCTCTCACTCCACACAGAGATGGGAGCGGGGCCAGTACAGGAGGCACATGCCAGAACTATTGGACATATTTTTAGTGGTAGGGGAAACCGGAGTACCCGGAGGAAACCTACGCAGACACGGGGAGAACATGCAAACTCCACTCAGAAAGGCCCTGGTCCGACCGGGATTCGAACCCAGGACCTTCTTGCTGAGAGGCGAGAGTGCTATCCACTCAGCCACCGTGCCGCCACGGTGTAAACAGTAAACAGATTCTACAGGGTATATTGCTTATTATTCTAAAAGGCCGGTGCTTTCTGGGTGACAATGCAGAGGATATTCACATCTTCAATCTAATTTGCTACTTTTAAATTGTAATTTTTGAGTATTATCTCAAAAACAAACTTTACAGTACATGATATTTCCTGCTTAAAGTTCAATATAAGCCACTATTGTCTGATTGTAAAAAGTCTATTGACCACATCAGTGTCTGTGGGAGGAACCACATGGCAGGTATGAGTCTTTCTGACCTGAATCTCTCAGTGGAAGCCCGTGAGTCAGAGTTGAGGAAGTGTCAAAGACCACGCACCACCTGATCGACTCATTCTTTCATAGTGGTCCTGTATGTAACCGGTTTCCTATAATAATGCACCTTAGCTTCTTAGTCAGGTTTGAAAGCACTGGCTAAAACCTCTCACTCAACCTTTAGCTCATAGAAATAATGTATCTTTCCTATTTCCATCAAACAGACATCTAGAGTGAATATAAATCATTATAAGACTAGAAACAAAAGATGACTAAGGTTTGACTAGGTAGGTAAAGGTAAAGGTAAGGTAAAAACGTCTACATTTCGATGTATATTTTAAAGCCTTGTGATTGGTTTGTTATCCTACTTTTAGCTGATAGCCTGTCTACTTGAATAATACTGTAACTTTTGATTACTGTCAAAATAAAACTATGATAATAAAAATCTCAAGACTCTAATCTAATGCCAGAATCATGATAATGGGAGAGGGTTTGTTGGACACGTCTGGGTCTAACTAAAAGGACAGTGGTAATGATCCAGGACACTCAACATTCAACATTTATGGACAGTGGTCTCTCCTATGAACCAATGGCTCTCTATGTGCTTTTTTAATCATTGCATTTCTTGTGTTTGAACTGTTTTAATCTCTGATCTGTGTTGGCGAATTCAGCGGTTTTGTAAAGTCCTCCGAGGTAACTACTGTTGTGATTTAGAGCTAAACAAGAATACATTGAATTCAATTTAATTTAAAGGTCCATCCATCCATCCATTTTCTACCCTTTAATCCATTTCTGGGTCAGGGGGGTGGCAGTCAGAGATGCCACCCAAGTCTCATAGCACCAGCCCCTCACTGACCCTCTGCAGGTGGTGAGTCCACAGGAGGGCGGCTGCTCTTTGACTGTGAGCATAGCCTTGATCTTTCAGTGGGGGCTTTGGGCAAAGTGGGGTTAAGTGTCTTGCCCAAGGACACAACGACAGCAGTCATCAGTGGGAGTCGGTGGAGAAGGTGTAGAGGTGGGAATTGAACCCACGACCTTCAGGCCTGAAGGGCAATGCTCTACCAACTGAGCTACTGTCGCCCCCTAATTTAAAGGTATATAGGAGAATTTTCTACTTCTGGGTGGATCATCAGGATTATTGGTCTTCCCAATTATCAATCATTCTGGGGATACGTGTTCGTCAAATAAGACCAGAGAGTTGTGTTCAAAAAGTGGAGAGGGCGGTTCTTTTATAAAATTTGGGAAAATCCTCCTCCATACCTTTAAATGATGATCGAGCAGGGCATACAATAAGTGAAAAGGGAACCGCCGTATCAAACAGCGAAATGGGAGCGGTGGACCCAAATGACAATAGTGAAAGTCATTAAAGATGTTTTTAATATTTAGTCAGAGTATAGAGCTGTCACTCTGTCTAGTGACGCTTTGGCTGAGGTTTTGGTTTGGGGGAAGTGTGATCTGTTGTGACAGTGGGGATCGGAGCTGGCGGGCGGTCACCATGCGGCACCATATTGCCAGGATCCCCGGGGTCCAGGGATCAGCGTGCCATCCTTGCCAAGAAGTGCTAATAGGCGCAACACGTCTTGCTTTCACACATTAAGATAGCGAAGGGTGACATATCAGAGCTGTGATACTGCTGCCTGTAAGGGGAGAAAAGGCTGCTGCTTTGCCATGTGGTTCAGGCTAATGACAAAAAGTCCTCCAGCTTCCACGACATTACGGCCGAGCATCACTTGGCTTGAGCTGTTTCGAGACAGACAGGTCATCTCTATGTTTTTTGACACAAACTGAAGACCAATATACTGTCACTCTCCACAGCTTCCATATTGTAGCTGCCAAAGAACTTGTTGAAGCGAGATCAACACTTTTGGAGGAAAACGTTAGCGCCTGATGCGACTGAGGTCAAATGGGTTGCTCCAGGCAGCGACACCTTGGTCTGTGTGTTACCGGGACCACAGCTTGGGTGCAGTCTGTCTAAAGTGCGGGTTTGGCTGCTGAGCTCCTCCGCACTCTGCACTTGTTACTTCCACTTTAAGGCGCCATATGCTTGATTTGGCAGGTTCTCAAACACCTGCCGCCATCCATTTCCCTCACATGTGACACGGGCCAATTTGAAAAGGTGCATAAAAACAAGAGCGATGTGTGTCTTCTCCTCCAACAGAGAAGATACGAGTTCATATCATGGCATTTTAACATTATTTACAGTAAGCTAGAACGCTGGCCAGTATACCTTGAAAAAATTACCCAAAAATTAAGTAATAAATGATAATTACTATAATATTAATGGTGTTAGTTTTAATTACAGAACTTACAATTCATAAAAAATAGAACTATGTAATAAAACACAGGTCCTGGCTATAAAATAGTTTTTGCTTCTATCATTACTTCTCACATGCATGTATTTTTGGCATCTGTTAAATCTTTGGATCAGACAGAAAGATGAAAAAGGACGGTCAACCTCATTAGCAAGTTGAAAAAGAGAACATGTTCTATTAAGATAAAGACAGCATTTCGAGGTCTGATTTGTTCACTACATTCAACTTTCCCAAGATTCTTTCTTTTGGGAGAAAAACATGGGTTATCTATAAAAATATGAATTGGTTACAGCTAGAGCTGCAAAGTCGGTTTTAATCAAAAATACTACATTTTCACGTCATTTTTGCTCTGTTTGAGTCCCTGTGAACCAGAAAACGATTAATCGATTACTAAAATAGTTGTCGACTATTTCAATAATCGATTAGTCGTCGATTAATCGATTAGTTGTTTCAGCCCTAGTTACAGCAGATTTAATGTTATGTTTGCTAATTGTTACTGAAGTTGGTAAAAAGTTAATGAAGACCCCCTGGTGGTAGTCTTTTGTCAAAAATGAATTCTCTAAAAATGATTAAAACTGTCAATAATCAACAAGATAAAACATATTGTGTATGTTCATCCTAACAAAAAAGCACAATCTAAGGAACATTATGTTAAAAGGTGTATTGGAGGATTTTCCCAATTTTTTTGTAAAGAACCACTCTCTCCAAAAACTCTCTGGTCTTGTATTCGAGAACATATCACCAGAATTATTGACAATTAAGAGGACCAATAGTTTTGATGATCCACCCCTAAGTAGAAAATCCTCCTATAAACCTTAATGTAAATAGCTATTTCACCACTGCACTGACATAAAGAAGATTGGTGAAGTAGTAAAAGATATGAGCATTTTACCCACTGCCGTGAACTAGAAGATCTGTGGTTCATACTTCTTGTATTTTTACCCAGAACCAAAATAAATTCAGTTTCCGAGACTTGAGCATTGAGTAGTGCCAGGCATTGAAAGAGACTGTGTTATATAGTACAGTAGGTTTCAGATATATACGAGTCTGTCTCTCATCAAAAATCCACCTTTGAATTCATTGGTACTGTGTGGTAAGTTTGCAGAACTACTGGCTGCCATTTCTTGATCAAATATTAAAGTGAATGGTGCGCTAGAAGTAAAGCCCAGCTCCTCTGATAGCTTTATCTTCTCCCACCATGCTCACTGTCCAACACTCATAATAAATAATGTGCCATGGACATGAACGTGCTTACTTAAATAGGCACTGCATGAAGCTAAATGTTTTATTTGTCTATCCCCCCTATGATAGTGTGGCGCTAATGTGAAATCAGACAATCATACAAGAAAACTGTCTGAATTATTAATACATATGGTGGCTCACCTTTGTGTCAACTCTGAAGTCTGTAGGATGACCCGAGAGGGAAAACTGTGTCAAGCTTTAGCGAAACCCACGGCATGCTGAAAAATACAATAATTATATTTTTACACATATTTTTAAACAGTCTTTTCTTAGCTTGATTGTGTCAAGGAGAGCAAATTGTTATTCTCAATAAAATGAAAAAAGGTTGTGACTTATGTATGGTAAAATTACACAGTGC